CCGCTCCTTGGAAACCCTATAGAGGATCGCTATGAGTTGGAACTGACTTGACGGCACTTAACAACAACAAGTTAAGAAGTGCAAAGGGGCTCTGGGGAAGAGCTCTCACCTTTCATGAGGGAGCCCTGGGTTTGATTCCAGGCCAAAGTACTTCATGCCTAACCACTATCCATCTGTCAGTGGAGGCTTGAGTGTTGCTGAATAGGCTTCATTGGAGCTTCTAGACTAAGAAAGACTGGGAAGAAAGGCCTGGCGATCTTCTTCTGAAAAAAAAAACAGCCAATGAAAACCTTATGTATCACACAACAATATGATTCCATTGTTCTTGGGGTTGCTAGCAGTCACAGGCCTACTTGATGGCAGCTGACATCAGCAACAAGTAAAAAGTAATCTCTTGAGGAAAGTTTAGGCTCCCAGAATCACTATCCTATACTGAATGATTCTTGTTAATTTTATCAAGTGCAATGGGTGACTTTGCTCAGACACCTCTGGGTTTCATATGGGCTTTCTCCTTCACATATCACTGTCAGCAGGTTATTTCACCTCTCCTCAGCCTCATTTGCATCAGTACAATGGAAATAAAACCTACTTAATATATTTGTTATTAAGATGAAACGTGAACTAAGTATAAAGAATGAAAAATAGTATCTGGCACATATATAATATATGTTTAATTAGTAGAGAGTGGGAAGTAGCAGTTTTTATTATTATGTGTTGTTATCATTGTATTATCATTATCTGTTATTATCATTATTGGCATCAGGATACAATATCTTCAAACACAAAACAATATAACAGTCTCTGAATCAAACTGATGCTTTCCTTACCAGATTTGCCCCTGATGTGACTCCGTTAGGAGGCAGCCTTGCAGCTAATGGAGCAAGGAAAATGCAGGGCTGACAGGACACCAAGGCTGCTTTGATGTATTTCCATGGCAGCTCTTACCTAAGTGCTGCCAATAGCTTCACCAACTGCTCCTTGGAGAGAAGGAGAGTATTCCATGGAGGAAAGCTGATCCTTCAAGCCACTGCCAAAATAGTCTCTGATTTCTTCCTGCTATTATGAAACAACAGGATTCATTCTAGCCAAAGTAAATACAACAACCACCCCCACCCTCCACACACACACACACACACACACACACACACACACAAAAGACAGAAAGAAAAATTAAGAGATTTTTAAAAAGAAACCAAGAATGAATTATACCTGCAGACCAGTGAAATAGTAATAAGAGTAAACTATTTTTATATAAAAGGATTGTTTTGATCTTTTATCATCTTCTAAGGAGCTCTGGTAGCATAGTGGTTACAAATCGGGCTGTGAACTTTAAGGTCAGCAGTTCGAAACTACCAGCTGTTCCATGGGAGAAAGATGAGGCTTTCTGCTCCCGAAAAGATTCACAGCCTCGGAAACCCTGTACAGGGTCTCTATGGGTCGGAACTGACTCCATGGCACATAACTACCACCACCAAGCAAGCCTTATGGAGTCCCAGTGTGGCACTGTGGGTTAGTGCTCCAGACTGTAAAACTGTTTGAACTGCAAGGTCGGGAGTTCAAGTTCACCAGCGGCTCCTTGGAAACCCTGTACAGATTCACTATGGCACTTAACAACAACACTCGACAGCACTCAACAACAACAAGAAGCAAGTCCTGTTATGGTATTGTGGGTTAATGTACTGGACTGCAAAGTCAGTTTGAATTTCAAGGTCACCAGTCATTCCTCAGAAACCCTATGTAGGGTCGCTATGGTTCAGAACCGATTCGACAGCACTTAAAACAAAACAAGCAAGTCATATCTAAACCTTTCCATTTGCTCCCATACCTATTATTTTTTTCAACTTGGCTAATGCCATTTTTTTTTACATCTTAGTCTTCGTTAATACAATTATTATTGTTTGGAATCTGAGCTCCTTAAAGCATGCTGGCGTGGACAAGAAAGCCAAGATAAACAGCTTGATGCAAATCTGCTAGTATTTCAGTGAATCATTTAAAAATGCATTCAGCTGGATGTAAATGCACAAGTTGGCTTGTTGTTGTGATGTGCCGTGGAGTCGGTTCCGACTCATAGCAACCCTGTACAGGGTTTCCGAGGCTGTAAATCTCTATAGGTGCTTGAAAGCCTTATCTTTCTCCCACGGAGCAGCTAAAACTCTTACCAAGTTTCCAGAAAGCTTTTCTTCATCAGCAGACCATCTCAAGCAGTTCTGAATAAATGACATTTGGTCCCATGTCATTGAAGTTAGTGCAACGAGTGCTCACCCATGGGGAACAACCAGCAGCCCCAGGAGAGGATCCAGTAGGGCTGCATGGTGATAACTCAAAGGCTAGAGATTCAGTCTACCTAAAAGCACCTCCGAAGAAAAGTCTGGCATTTTACTTCTGAACAATCAGTCCAGTAAACCCTGTGGAACACACTTCTACTCTGACACTCATGGGGTCTCTGTGAGTTGGAATCAACTCAGCAGCAGCTGGTTAATTTATACCTGGTACTCAAGCTTTAGAAATGGTAGAACTAGCATGGAGTAGTGGGAAAAGGAACCTGAATGGGGTGCTGGTAGTCCATGCACCATGGTTTCCATTAACTGTTGGCTTTAGGAATCCATTGTTCCATCTGAGCAAGCATTGCTGCCCCATCCCTGGAGGCCCAAACTTTAAGATCCATTGTATTATAATTTTCTATCTTTCCATTGTTTTACACAACCGCAGCCTGATTTTCACTCCCAAATTTTCTCTGTGTCAAGGGCTCGTTCTTGTGAATCTTGTTGAATTTGAGGCCCTGGCAGAGCACAGGAAGCACAGGGAAGGGTCCACTCTTGCCTCCCAGCCTCTGTCAGCATTATCGACACCTGTCTTCCACCATCACAGTGCCGCCCACTATATAATGACCTTCTCTAGTTACTTCCTACTCCTGGTGTGTGGCTGCAGTTTTCCTCAAGAACACCACACACTTCAGAGGTACCCTGCCTCTCATGTCCTTGGGAGTGCCAACCATTTGCTGACTTGCTGGAGAGACTGCTTTATACACGTTCTAGAATCAGTTAAAGGTTGTGCGACTTGTGAGTGCTAGGAGAAGAGGCAGGTGGACTTATTCATGCTCTCCAGATCAGTTCTGCTGTCCTTGTCAGCTGACACTCTGCTCAGTTCTGAAATTCCTGGGAGGACAGAGTCCTTTGTTCTGAGCCTGGTGTCTAACTTGCTGCCTCCTGTGCTAAGAGCTGGGACATTGGTAGTGTATTGCCCCGTCAGAGTGAAATGCTGGACTAACTGGACATTGAGACTGACATAGCACACAGGACATGTGGCTGTAAAAATGTTGTTGCAGTTGTTAAGTGCCATCAAGTCAGTTGAGGAGTGGTTGGTAAACTTGAACCACTTGTTCTTGAACCACTGACTTGTGGTTCAAACCAACTTTGAGGGCATTAACCCACAGCAACACTGCACCAGGACTTCAATGTAAAATTTGTGTCTACCAAATTGATGAAGCAGAGTGTTCTGGTAATATAGAAAACCTAGCATGTTTTCCAAAGAATTGTCTTTGGCTTGAGAAGAGGTGGGGTCACATGAGTGAAGGTTCCAATAGAAACAAGTAAGACCAGAAAAGCAATGAGACATGACTTTGCATCTGGAGGTGTTTATAGTCTGGTTATCATACCAACAATACATCTATATAAAGATAATCGTGAAGTTATTATCAGTAGATGCAAATGATTTTTGCACAAATTGGATGTTGCTGGCCAGTAAAGAAGAATTCTAGAGAAGTTTCAGGGAAGGCTCCTGGGCAGAAACAATTGACTGGGATAGAAGGAAGAGCACTTCAGGCTGAGAGAAGGGCCTGAATTTCCAGTAACAATGAGCTCATCTTTCACTTAGTCTGAACGCTCTACTGAAATCTGTTCAGAATAAAAGCATCCTCTGACAGACAGGTGGTGGCTGTGTATGAAAGTCCTGATGATCTCCTTCAGGAAACCAGATGACGTAAACCCTTTGGATCACAACCTTCCATTGTGCTTTAGGTCAGCATGAGTCAGAGTCCAACTCCATGGCAGCTAATAAAATTTCTCCTGGAGCCACATACCCCGGCCAGTGGAGGGCTTGAATTGAGTGGGAGCAGGGAGGTGATTGGTGTGGTGCTGTAGGACCAGTCTTCAACTACAAGGTCAGTTTGAACTGCAAGGTCGGTGGTTCAAGCTCACCAGCCGCTCCTTGGAAACCCTGCACAGGGTCTCTATGAGTCAGAACTGACTCAATGGCACTTAACAACAACAGCATTGCAGGTGAAGGAGGCAGTACACATGCTGAAGGCCCTCTGAGCTGAGCCCCTAGAATTCAAGTTCCAATCTAGCACATTCCTGTATGGCATAATCCTAACTACAATTTTCCCTTTAGCTGCTCATAATGACACTGCTTAGTTTTCTTTTTGTTTGTTTGTTTTAAAATCCTTCACTATATAATTTGGTAATTATTTTTTTAAACCTAATTTTAGAACGATGGCACATTTTTATTAAGCACCAGATTTTCATCTCTCCTGTTTTACTCTTTGAATCTCTGATTCTCTTCTGCTGCTGTCTTCTATGGTCAGACCGAACCTCTCAGATCTTCCTGGAGGGATTGTGTAGAAAGCATGGAAAATTGTTCCCATGATCTGTTTGTAAGCTGACAGGTGATGTTACTGGACACCCCAATAAATGATTTGTGTTAGAATATCACTTTTTCCGTGGGGGGAATGACATCTATCTGTCCACACGTGAGAACTTAGTAATGTTTTAAAAAGATTCTCTACACTTTAGAAATGTTGAGAAATGCTGCTATTGAGAAAAAGAATGACCATTGTTGGAGAATTAGAATCGTTGTTTTAAAAAGGACTCCAAACAGTGCTTGTAATTTATTTACTCGCAGAAACAAAAGGATTTCAAGTACTGGTGTTTAGTGTGTGCTGGCTGGCACTATCCAAGAGCCTAAACTTGGGAATGAGAGTGAAAACCTTTTTCTCTGTTCAGATTGCAGAAGGAATGGCGTACATCGAGAGGAAGAGTTATATCCACCGAGACCTACGAGCTGCCAACGTCCTTGTGTCGGAGTCTCTGATGTGCAAAATCGCTGACTTTGGCCTTGCCCGTGTCATTGAGGACAATGAGTACACTGCGCGGGAAGGTAGGCTCTCGTAGCAGTGGTTTGCTTTTTGTTGTTTAGCTTGGCATGTTGTGTTTCTAACAAAGCAATTTCAATGTTCATCATACTACAATTTACTTTGCATATTATTAAAAATTAATGATTGGTTTATCATGCTGTTATAATCAATTTTCTTTAATTATCCTCTTGATTAACACTACATGATGCTTTTATAAAGCTTAAACCCGAAAAACACAAACAACAAATCCCCACTGCCGTTGGTAAATTCTGACTCATATGACCCACTGTATAAGACAGGGTATAACTGCCCCATTGGACTTCCAGAGGGCTCAGTGGCCCAGGTTTCTGCTGTGGTTAGGATCTGAAAGAACCAAATGCTTTCGTGACATTCCTGGTGATTGCTAAGCAAGGAATAGTTTTCATTAAACTGTCACACGGGTTATTTCTGGTGCCTTCTGGAAAATGTTTGCACAATTTAGAGAGGTGACAAATTTAATGTTGTTTCAATTTGTTGAGAATTTCTCTGCTTTTATCATGTTTAAAGTTGATTTTTTTCCCCCCTCCTCAAGCCTGTGTCCTCTTAAGCAGTTTTTTTATTTTATTTTACTTTTTTTCTTGAGTGGCTTTGATAGCTCTACCAGTATCTATGAACTTAAATGATCACTTCAGAAAGGCAGATGGAGGAGGATGAGTGAAGGAAAAGATGGAATTACATAAAATAGTTACAATGTATTGGACATTGACATAATTCTAAATGCTCTTCATACATTAGCTTATTTACCTTTACAGTGCCACTGTGTGACAATTATTATTATTGTTATTCACATTTATAGATGAGGAAACTGAGAGATTATGTAGCTTTCCAAAGTTACAGTAAGTGGTAGAACCAGGGTTCAAATTGGAATTCTAGCCCTAAAGTACATGAGCTGAAATTTACTAAACTGTCTCTTAGAAATGCTCATCAGTGACTGTTGTTAGTTGCTGTCAAGTCAATTTGAACTTATGAAGACATGATTGAGTAGTTCTGCTGAATTTAGTGGGTCTAAAGTACTCACCAGGAGTCCCTGGGTGGTGGTGCAAGTGGTTAATGTAGTCAGCTGCTTACTGAAAGTTTGGAGGTTCAAAGACACTTGAGAAGAAAGGCTTGGTGACCTACTTCTGGAAAACCAGTCACTGAAAACTCTCTTGACACACAGTATGGATACGAGTTGATGTTAACTCATGGACAGCTGGTAGAAGCTTACCACGAGTATTTTCACGAGAGATGTGTGGTGTCGTGCTGAGAGCTAAATGGCCCTCAGCCTTACCAGCACCACACCAGAAGCCTGATGTCACCAGTAACTCATTCTAGGTAGATCATCATTCCACCCAATAACTAAAAGTTTAATTCTGTTTCTTCCTACCAAATGAAAGAATGGGACATTATTTTCCAAAATCTGAAATAGCATCTGTGATTTTTAATTGTATAGACTTAAAGGTATTTATCCACAGATGTATAAAACCCAATTCTGTTGAGCCAATTCCAACTCATAATGACTTCTATTCCATAGCAACATTGTATGTGTTAATTAAAGAAACTATGAATGCTAAGGTGTATGTATTTTCTGGCATTCAAGGGAAAATGAACAAACTGAGAATGAATTTCTTTATGTTCAACTTCATAATCTTTTGTGCTTAAAACTGCCTAGTTATATCTTTGGGAGGAGACCCAAGAAGCTTTGCTTCATAAGAGGGTATCAACCAAAAGGGAAACAAAAGAAGGAGGCAGATATTTTTAGTATAATGTTTTATACCATTTCTATTTTGTATTATATGTATATGTTATGTTGTATATTCAAAATAAATAAGGTTTTTGTGGGTTTTTGTTTTTTTTTTTCTTTTTGAAGAAACGTGTGAGGGTTACACATGCATGACTATTTGTTTAAGCTCAAATGCCAAATTAAAATCCTTTATCTTCTTCTTTAGGTGCTAAGTTCCCTATTAAGTGGACAGCCCCAGAAGCCATTAACTTTGGATGTTTCACTATTAAGTCTGATGTGTGGTCCTTTGGAATTCTGCTGTATGAAATTGTTACTTACGGGAAAATTCCCTACCCAGGTACCGTTTATCCATTTCCATTCAAGTGGCATATATGAGAAAAAAGTTGAATTGCAAGGAAGGCATAAAAAGAACTTGACTATACATACAGATGTAGTAGCTCAAAATACCAACTGAGAGGGAAGGAGTCTTCACATCAAGTATTAATCCTATCCCCTCTGTATACAGGGTAGCTAGGGACGGGCAACTTAGACATCGGCTACCTAAAATGAGGGGGCGATAAAGGCAAGAAGTGACTGGCTTACTAGTTTTCAGTAGGGAGTTTAGTTTCACAATGTGCAGGGGAAGGTAGAATACCCACTGAATAGTTTTCATCTTGTCTAGATGGGTCTGGTGAAAGGAGATGGGGATAAAATTCCTATGATTCAATAGTGAGTAATTGTTATCATGACTAATTGGCAACTGTCACAACTGTAAAGGTAGAAGATTTGTAACATAAAGGGGGGAGTAGTTAGTCGTACATTCCAGGAATAGAGGACCCTAGGAACATCCAGGGAGATGAGCATGAGAGGAATATGGAGAGAAGCAGCAACTCTAGAGATGGAGGTAGAGATGAGGACATGGAGAGAGGGAGCAGCTGAGGACTCTGAACTCATAGAAAGAGAGGAATTGGGTGCTGGCGGCCAGGAGGCAGGCTTGCAGAATGTGCCCTTTGGTTGTTTAAATTATTATATATTCCTGAGTGTTTTTGTGTGCATACCTCCTCTCCCCCACCAAAAAAAAACAACAGAGGGAATGGAAGCAAATACTGTTGAATGATGATGCACGGAGGAAGCTAATCATTGTAATGAAATTATGGTGTAAAGCTGATGCTCTCCCATGTAAAATATCACTCAGTTCACAATAAAAACTTAAAAAAAAAAAAAAAAGAAGGCATAAAAATAATCCCATCTTTTCAACAGATAAGAATAAGCATTTTGTTGTAGAATTTGATATTATTTGTTTTTAGGAGGAACTGTTCTAAAATATGCTTATACATTTCTCTGTGCCTTACTTTATTAAATGCATATTTTAAATTTTCTTTTCTTCACAAACTAATTCAATCACCCTAACATTCTGAAGAAGTCCTGGTGTGGCATTGTGGGTTAATGTGCTAGACTGCAAAGTCAGTTTGAACGGAAAGGCTGGTAGTTCAAGCTCACCAGTCGCTCCTTAGAAACCCTCTACAGGGTCACTATGGGTGGGAACCAACTCAACAGCACTGAACAATGGCAATGTTCTGAATGTGTCTGCCCCTGTCTTTGTATTCAAGATGGCAGAATGAATTCATTGCAGTTACTCCCTTCAAGAAACGCATCTGATGGCAAAGGAAACAGACAGATAATGGTGACTTTGTAATACTTGTTTAGTTGGTTTTGAAACAGAAGTTTGTATAAAGTTGTGTAGAGTTTCTACCTTTTCACAACAATTCCTACCCTCTCTCGTGGTGACCTTCCCCCATTCCTCTTCTGAGACTGTGTATCTTCTTCATTAAGCTTTGCACCTTGTGAGACCATGATACTGACTTAGTCATTCTTGTATTCTCAGAGCTCATGCAAGCTGGTAGCCTATATTAAGTACTAAAAAAAGTGCTTATTGAAGGGATGCATAGTGGAATATAAAATTGTTTGTCTTTTGAGTTCACTAGCCAGTGGATGTTTGATTTCTTTAACCAAGTAACAGACCAATTACCCAGGTATCAGATATGATTTTCAAGGCCTGGCTGAGGTCTCTCCCTTCTCATTCTCTCTCCCATAAGACTTGTCATATAATTACTTTATTTTGTTTGTTGGTTTACCTGCACGCCTGCATGCACGCACGCACACACACAAACACACACACATGAGAGAGACTTCAGATTCCTGCTTCTAACTTCTTCTAACTTCTAACTAAGCCATGCTCCCTAGATAGGATGGAGTATGTTTGTCCTTTATCTGTGTCATTGAGAGTATTCTTCAGAGTCAGACAGACATTCAAGAATGAAGAAGCAGTGAGACAGAGTAACAGTAGAAAAATGTCTTTTCTGTGGACATATTCTGACTTTTTGTGAAACTGAGAAATCTCTAGGAAAGAGATGAAACATATTCCAAACCAAGTGTGCATGTCCAGTTGCTGTTCATATCATCCCAGATATTAGTCTTCCCATTGGGATCCCAATGCTTCACTTTCCATTCAGAAATAACCATAGATATTCCTTTTGTATTGTGTCCAAGTGAGCTAGCTTTGCCAGTTAATAAAAACTAAAGCTATGCTGAAGCCACATCATGTTATTGAGCCCAAAATCCAAAATAAAGTGATAAGTAAATCTGTCACTTTGTTTCAAGTAACGAGAATCAAATGAAGTCTTCCAATTTCACAAATATTTGAAGACCGTGTTTCTGAAGTAGACTTGAGTAAAATTAGTTACTCATGTAAACAGCTTTCAAGAGATTATAACGTTTGTCTGGATCTTACCATTTTAAAACCAAAGACAAAAGGAATTATACCACTGTAGGGATTAAATCCAGAAGGACCCTATAGTACCTTTATTCGACCTATCCTTAAAAGAAGAAAGTTTAGCACAGCATCTCAAACTTTACTGATCATGACCCATAGTAAGAAATACACAGAGACCCATTCTCCATATAAAACAAAAGAATCACAAAACTGTACTGAGTTGAATTGGTATGTTTTGCTATATTCTTACAACACTTAAAATTTTTTGTTGTTGATGATGTTTATTACTTTCTGACTAAAAGTTTAACTGTATTTGTATTTTTACACCCAATTCCAGAGAGGAATATAATGGTATATTACCAGTAATAGGAAGATTTACCACAATAAACTTTTTAAAACAAAAAAGATTTTTTCCATTGATTTGTACAAGTTACATAACAAATTGTTTAAATCCCCAGTTTACCACCCAACAAAGATTTTATAAACAGAGATGCAGACAGGTAATCCAGAAATAAGCTTTTTAAAAAGATTCTTTAGAAACCTGCAGATAAACTCATTAAAGCATGATATATAAAATATATCCTATTGCTATGTTCTAGTTCTAAAAATTCTTTGCAAATCTTAAACTGTTTCAATGTAACCTAAAAGCTAAAAGAACAAGGATTCGTTTACCAAAGTGAAAACGATTGCCAAGCCATGCATAGTGATTCCTGAGAGGAATGCATAGGGAATAGAAGCAAACATAGTTAAAAGCCAGAAGTAGCCATGTAGATCTACTTGAGAAGAATAAATAAAAAATTAGAATCATTGACTAATTTCCAAAATCCTACTTATATACTTGATAGAACAAATCATTTTCTTTCTGAGATTATCTAACAACATTCTTTTTAATGACAATGTTGTTGTTGTTGTTAAGTGCCGTCGAGTCGGGTCCGACCCATAGCGACCCTGTACAGGGTTTCCGAGGGTGTAAATCTTTACGGGAGTAGAAAGCCTCATCTTTCTCCCGCGGAGTGGCTGGTAGTTTCGAACTGCTGACCTTAAGGTTCGCAGCCCGATTCGTAACCACTACACTATTATCTGCTTATAATTTCTGGGTGAAGTCAGCTTCTCAGGCTAAAACTATGTATCTGTTTACATAAAATGTAATGTAGCTTTGCTCTCTGATTCATTCACTACTTTCTTTCTACTCCTGCACAACTTTATACATACCCCTCTTTGTTTTTACAGGAAGTACTAAAATCCAGCAAAGCAGGTACTATTTTTACCATGTGACAGATGAGGAAACAGTCTTAGAGTTTCAATGACTTAATCAAATTACCAGTAAAGCTAGATTTGTCTTACTACAAAAGGTCTTTATGTATTGCCTCACATGGTAGAACATATGGGAAAAATAAATAAATAAGAAACCCTACTGCCATTGAGTTAATTCCAATTTACAGTGACCTTATCTAGGGTTTCTAAGGCGGAGTCCTGGTATGGCTCTGTGGGTTAATGCACCAGACTGCAAAGCCATGTGAACTGCAAGGTTGGAAGTTCAAGCTCATGAGCTGCTCCTCGGAAACCCTATACAGGGTCACTATGGATCAGAACCAACTCGCCAGCATTTCACAACAACACAACAACAACACTGTAAACTTTATGGGTGCAAATGGCCTCATCTTTCTCCTTCAGAGCAGCTGGTGGATTTGAACTGCCAACCTTGTAGTAAGCAGTCCAATGCTTATCCTACTGCACCACCAGCACTCAGAAAAGAATATAAAAATAAATCAAATCTAAAGAACCGAGCTGACTACAGCTCCTTGCTAAAAAACAAAACAAAACTATGGAGCATTGTTGTACTTGGGCACACATGTCCCCAGGAGTTTGAATCAACTAGATAGCAACTGGTTTGTTTTTGGTATGTAGTAAAGGAATACCCAGTCAAAACAACAAAAATACTTTTATGATGTGCATGCAGTACATTGTGACTTTGTTTTATTCTGTTATAATTTATTTTTTAAATACTAGTTTGTGGTTGTTGTTAGGTGCCATTGAGTCAGTACCCACTCATAGTGACACTATGCACACAGAATGAAACACTGCCAAGTCGTACGCAAACCTCACAATTGTTGCTACTAAAATACTGGTGGCTGTTGTTGTTGTTGTTAAGTGCCATCAAGCCAGTTCTGACTCATAGTGACTCTGCATAGGGTTTCCAAGGAACAGCTGGTGGATTTGAACCTCCAACCTTGCAGCTTAGACTGACCTTGCAGTCCAGCACATTATCCTACAGTGCCACACCAAAATACTGGTTGTTGTTAAGTGCCGTCAAGGTGGTTCTCACCCATAGCGACCTTGTATAGGGTTTCCGAGGCATGGCTGGTGAGCTTGAACCACCAACTTTGTGGTTTAAACTGACTTTGCAATCCAGTGCATTAACCCACAAAGCCACACCAGGACTCCAAAATACTGGTTGTTGTTGTTAAGTGCCATCAAGTCGATTCCGACCCATAGCAACTCTGTATAGGGTTTTCAAGGAACAGCTGGTGAGCTTGAACTACCAGCCTTGCAGTTCAAATGACTGTGGTCTGATGCATTAGCCCACAGTGCCACACCAGGAATTTAAAATACTGGTTGTTGTTGTTGTGAAGTGTCGGCAAGTCGGTTTCAACCCATAGCGACCCTGTACAGGGTTTCTGAGGAGCAGCTGGTGAGCTTGAACTGCCGACCTTGCAGTTCAAACGGCTTTGCAGCCTGGTGCATTAACCCACAGCACCACACCAGGACTCCAAAATACTGGTGTTGTTGTTGTTGTTAAGTGCCATCGAGTCGGTTACGACCCATAGCGACCCTGTACAGGGTTTCCGAGGGTGTAAATCCTTACGGGAGTAGAAAGCCTCATCTTTCTCCCGCGGAGCGGCTGGTAGTTTCGAACCGCTGACCTTTAGGTTCGCAGCCCGATTCGCAACCACTACGCTACCAGAGCTCCTTCCAAAATACTGGTAGCACCTGAAAAATAAAAATAAAGGCATTGATCTCAAGTTGGGGCATGGCCTACAATTGAAAAAAAATGATTAGAGAATAAGTTCAAAAGAAGTTTCTATGTCACATCTAAAAGAAGTAGTAGACGAAAAACCAAAAAACAAAGCCCTAAAGCTTACCTGTGTTTTAGAAGAGGGCTTTGGTGGTTCCGTAGTAAAATTATTGCCTTCCACTCTAGAGACCCAGGTTTGATATACAGCCAGTGTATTTCATGTGCAGCCACTCGCTGTTTGTCAGGGAAACATGAGTGTTGCTGTAATGCTGAACATGTGTCAGCAGAGCTTCTAGACTACGGTGGTGTTGTGAGAAAAGACCTGGCAACGGCCTTCTAAAAGTCAGCTGTGAAAATCCTATAGATTACAACAGTTTGATCTGTAACCAGTCATAGGACCTGGTAGCACTTCATTTCATTTCATTGTACTTTAGTAGCGTAATGGTTATGAATTGGGCTGCGAACCTCAGGGTCAGCAGTTCGAAACTACCAGCGGTTCCGGGGGAGAAAGATGAGGCTTTCGGCTCCCGTAAAGATTTACAGCCTCAGAAACCCTGTACAGGGTCGCTGAGTCGGAACTAACTCCATGGCACACAGCAGCAGCAGCAGTGCATAACATGCACAATGTTATGGTAGGGAAAGGAGATAGTCATAGAAAGGAAATTGGGTATGGAGAGTGAAGTTCTCCCATATGCCACAGAATATTAGATATAATCTACATGAAAAGATTCTACATGAAATACAACTCCTCCCCAGAAGAGTGTACATGCCTGCAGAATATACCAACCATGCAAATGTGAATAAGTTCTACAACTCCTAAACGAGCACATTTCTCTATCGCATTTTAATAATGGAGGAAAATATTATTGTTAAAATAATCCTGTTCTTTTTCAAAGCTATTCTCAGTATCAGAGATCTACATATGGTTCAGCTTCTGAACTACCCTGAGACAGCTGACCGCTTGAAAATCCTCCCTACTGAAGAGCACCCTGGTTCCTTCAAGGGATGCAGAGAATACGCAAATTTGAGCTTTGACTCTGGCGAGTACTGAGACTGAAACGACATCCTGAGCAAGCAAAGTAGCTCCACTTGAGAACTATGATTGGGACCTAATTTTTCTTCCCTGGGTTAATACCTCTCTCTTAAATGACAGTGAGTCCCACATGATATACCGCCACAGGCAGGTTTAGTCCAGATTACCAGAGTCACTGTTTCTTTCCAAGTAAATCCCTAAGCAATTGGTCTGAGTTCAGGATGCTGACATTTGTAAGTAAATTTACAATGAAAAACTGACTTTAAAACAATGCTGGCATGAGATAATATATGTGAAAATATTTTTTTATTTTTTATTTTTTGCCAACGGGGCACTGAACTTCTCTTAAGGGTAATGGAAAAATTCAGAATGGTCAGTAGTGATCATTGAACCATATATGAGGAACATACTTAGTGTGACTGAATAGTCCATGTAAAGGTTATTGATATGGCAAATACTTTATTACCTATATATTTATCACAATAAAAAGTTTATTTTTAAAATGATGTTTTGGTAAATGAATTACAGGTAGATGTTGAAAAATGACAAAAGAAATTAAGTCAGAGAGAATTAAAATTTGAGGTTGAGTGGTTAATTCAGAAAATCAGTCAAGTCTAATATCTTTTACCAATAAAGGCAATGTACTTTGTCTTCTACCAACCACATTTGCCTGTTTTTTCTGTCCTGACTTGCTTCATACTAAAATTTACATCTTTGGTTGCTTTACAAAAATGTCTTTTAGCTTCTACAGCTTACGTTATTAATGGCTGCTAAAAGTGGTAACAGAGAGAACAGCGCAATGCTTGATGTTTCAGCCTGAATTCTAACTGTTGTGTTTTGTTTGTCGTAGGGAGAACCAATGCTGATGTGATGGCTGCCCTGGCTCAGGGCTATAGGATGCCCCGGATGGAGAACTGCCCTGATGAGCTTTATGACATCATGAAGATGTGCTGGAAGGAGAAGGCAGAGGAGAGGCCCACATTTGATTACTTACAGAGCGTCCTGGATGATTTCTACACAGCAACAGAAGGGCAGTATCAGCAGCAGCCTTAGCACACAGGGAGATAGATCTGTGCCCAGGGCAGGGATGGTTGTGTTGGCTGTCTCATTTCAAAAGGAAAAATCACAAACACTGGCTGCAGTAGTTAATTGTGTGCTTGGACCATCCATGATGCCTGCTTTCTGACAGCAGGGGCTAAGAACTCAGGAAGAACACGCCTCTACACAACAAAGGATTCTCTTCTAGACTCAGGCCTCTTGGTTTGCAGCGTGGACTGCAAACTCACTGACTGTCTTGCTCTGCTAGACCGATCTTTAAATCCAGCCATCTGGGAAGAGAACACCTGTCCTACGCAAAATGTACCCATTCTGACCCTGTGTTTACATTTGGGCATGTGACCCAAAGTTTCAGAGACCACAGCAACAAATCCCAAGTAGTAGCAGATGTTAAAATAACCAGATGTTCATTGTGGCTCTTTGTAATTTTTATGTTTGGCTTAGTATTTTTTTTTAAAAAAAGGAAGAAAGAAATTAGTAATAATAATTACTAGTCCAACTTGTTAGATATTCCAGGTGAAGTCAGCAACTTAAAAATATCTTTCTCAGATTTCGATGTTTTGTTGTTGTTGTTTTTTTTTTCCTTCCCCCTGAAATTTGAGACTGTTAATCATTTTCCTCCCTTGGAGACTGGCAGCCTCAGCAGTACTGCTGTTCATTTTATAGAAGAGTTCTATGTGAGACTGTAAAGGCAGTGTGAGCCCCGCTGACGGTGCAGGACTCAGCCAGACCTCCATGGAGATGGAGACAATACCAGTGCTTGCCTCAGAATCTGCTCTGTCTGAAAAACAAGGTTTCAAGGAGTCCAGCCTTTCAATTCAAAGATTGTTTATTTCCCTGTACCTAGACTTTTTTGATAATGCAGTCTGGAAAAAAAAAAAAAAGAAGAAGGATTCTAAATCTTTGCATAACTTTATAAGGTCTTTTAAAAAGGAAACATAAGAATTGTCTTTATTGCTTCAAATGATTTTAAAAAATACTTTATTAAGCAAGTATTAATTTTAGATGTACTCTAGAAAGTAAAACTGCTGCATCTTGGGCTATTTTTGTGATTCTGCTATCTTTTAAATTGTATAATGTGTGTGATTCTACTCATAGCAAAAAAATATGAAGGAATGTAAGTGGCCAAGGCTCCAATGAGAACCCCTGCAGCAAAAATGACAAGAAGTTTTGTTTACTAACTTTTTCTACTCTAAGCTTTGAATGGAAAATGCTGTATTACATTCACTTATGCTGTCATGTACATATCTAATATTTCTATTTTTGATTTTATTTTAATACACCTTGCCCAATAACATTTAAACATTTTTATCTCTGTTTAACTTTCCGAGTATCCTCAACATAAAAGTGAGTACCGACTGGGGAGAAAATGAAAAGTGATTCCATATTGTTAGATGGTTTTTAAAACTTATATAAGTTCTACTTCTATCCTTTGCCCGTTTTCAGATTGAGAACTAAGGAGGTGCTTCCTTAGATACCTGAACACCATTTTATGGAGGCAAATAGAATTTCTCTTCAGAGAGGCTAGACAAACATCATGAACACTGCATCTTTTTATGTGTTTTCTAAGCCTTCAATGGCTAACTACAAGGTTAGTGGTTCAACTCCACTAGCTGCTCCATAGGAGAAAGATGTGGTAGTCTGCTTCTGCAAAAATAAAAACACCACCAACAAAAAACATCATTGCTCTTGTATTGATTCTGACTCATAACAACCCTTTCTTTATAGAAAGATTTACATGGACCTCTGTGTTTGCAGTCTAGTGCTTTAACCATTGTGCCAAGATTCCTCAGTAAAGATTCCATACAGCTCTGGAAGCCCTGAGGCAGATCTACTCTATCCTATAGGTTTGCTCTAGGTTGGACTTGACCCTGGTGTAGCATTTGGGTTTTGGTGGGGCTTGTCCAGGCAGAAGAGAGTTAGGGACCATGCCAGTGAGCCCAGCAGGTGATGGCAGGAGCATATCAGACTACAGTGGAGAGAACAGGCTGGCGGGGTGGGGAGGGGGTGGGGGAGCGCAGGCTCCATCTTCAGGCTGTGGATCCTGCCCTTGATCCTTGGCCGCCCAAAACTAGACTTTACCAGCCCTGGCCTCTGTTCTGTAGGCCTAGATTCAGAAGTGAATCTTCTCCGTTTCCTGAGAAAGCCCTTGTACCCAACAATATGCCTCAGGGTAGCCTGCCTGGCTGAGACTGCCTTGTAGGTGGTGGAGAACTGCCTAGAGGGCTTTCTACTAAATGTGCTCCTTCAAGCTCTCAGACCAGAGATGAATCTCAAGGTAAACCCCTGGGGAGAGCACCTGGCAGCTTCAGCCTAGTGACTTGGAGGTGGGGCACAGCCAGCTCAGGGCACACCTCTAAAGCAGCAGCCACCCAGGTGAGGCCCTGCCCGAGCTGCCAGCCAGTGAGCAGCAGAGTATGAGGGCCTTGATGGTAGGTCACCTTCACATTTTTCTCTCAAATTTAACTTCTTTTCTCCTGTGATTTTGTTTTTCAATGTTTGTTCTAAAATTTCCACTTCACAAGTACCATATTCGCAAAGTTGACTATTATATTATAATCATATACTGTCTATGGAGTTCTGGTGTGGCACTGTGGGCTAATGTGCTGGACTGTAAAGTCAGTTTGAACTGCAAGGTTAGTATTTCAAGCTCACCAGATGCTCCTTAGAAACCCTATACAGGGTTGCTATGAGTCGGAACTGACAATTTAACAACAACAACAATACTGTCTATACTCATGTGAATGGTAGGTTTTCTATGTACACCTCCTCCATTGGCATTTTTATTCCAGAATGACAAATACTACACAGTATACTATGTGGGGAGGAAGTGTAAAGACTTTCTTGGACACAAAGAAGGCTCTAGAAAATTTATTAAAGTCAGTTTCAGCTTGTTTTATCCTCTCAACTCTTGCTTCCTTTTACCATTTTACATTTGGTTTCCATCTCAGTCAACTATGTGATCTTTACCCCCATGTGTGTCTTTTGTTACTTCAGGCCTCATTGCTCACACTCAGCATGTGCCCAAGCCCCCAAGGTACTACATACTGAAGGGACAGCAACTAGAGTCTCTTCCTGTTCCTAGAGCAGGATTCTCGCTTTAGACTCATAGACAAAATGAGGGACAGTACAAATGTTCTTATTTAGAACTTTAAAAAAAAAAGCAGTGCCCACCTCCCCACAAGATTTTGATTCAGCTGTTGTGCAATGTGTGTTTGTGTTATAAAAACCTTCCCAAGAGAATATTCAATTCACAGTTGAGAGCCATTCCACTGGCTTGACCGTATTTCAAAGCTATCGACTCAAGCCCAGCATTCTCTTTCCTCAGATGGTTGGTTTCCCGTGGGACAGTGTAGGAGCAGAGGAAGAAGAGGAGAAAATGTTTTCATACTTATGTGCCTTTTTCCTTTCTGATGAGCATGAAGCTCACTAAAGCTAAAGTAAAACTCATAGACTTGATGCCAGTATCCTTAATAGAGCTGCTCTGTAGCTCCTCTGAGCATTCATCCCTGGTCTCTGCTGAGATCAAATCGCAGCGAGAGCTTCAGACGACCACTGGAAACACCCAAGTTGGAAACACCTTCTCTTTTGGGAAATACTGCACACAGAAATCATGAACCTTATCTTAAGAGTGTATAAACAAACAAACAAACAAAAAGAGTGTATAAACAGCCAGTAGAAGGAAGGACTATATCTACTTATATTATGGAATAGACCCAGAACACTGAAACAATTAAAAGTATAAACTCATTTCCAATTCTGCCTGTGATGCCTGCTTTTCCTTTATCCTCCCTCTTGCTCTCACAAACTACATTCAGTAATGGTAGCTACTAAAAAATACTCAACACCGAAACACCAGCATTTGCATTCAACTGAGTTAAAAGAAATTCTCATCCTTTGAAGAATCAGTAGTCCAGCCTTTATGAATGTCAGATGCCACAACCAGTTCAGTTTCTAGCTTTCTTAGCCAAAACATCGCAGATTTGTTCACACCACCAACCTGTCGCCTTAGTGTCTTCCTTTATTTTCTGCTTATGCTTAATGGAAGAAGGATTCCAATTCTGTCTACTACATTTTGACTACATGAAGTTAAGAATCTAAAAAGATTAAGTGAAGACCAGACTTGCTTGCTATGTACCTGTCAATACACAGGATTTGTATACATCGACCATTTATCCAAGGAGCTCTGGTAGCATAATGGATTACAAGCTGAACTGCTAACCACAAGGTCAGCAGTTCGAATCTACAAGCCACCCCACTGGAGAAAGAGGAGGCTTTCTGCTCCAGTAAAGCCAGCCTTGGAAACCCTACACAGGGTCACTATGAGTCGGAACCGGCTCCTCGGCACACCACCACCATGTATCCACGAGAGCTATGGCTCTGTAGGATCAGCACTGGACTACGAACCACAAGGTCAGTGGTTCAAGCCCACCAACTACACGGGAGAAAAATGAGGCTTTCTGCTCCCACAAAGATTTACAGTCTCAGAAACCCTATACAGGGTCACTATGAGTTGGAATTGACTTGACTGTACTTAACAACAACAAACCATCCAGTTCCCTCTGTAGCACTTCGGCACTTTATAAAAATTATCTCGAGTTTACACAATAATCCTCCAATATCTGGACAGTGCTACCATTGTTTCACAAGTGAGACAAGACAAGACGCCTTTAAAGCCACACAGGGAATTGATTGTCACTGCTTCATGTTTCCCTATGAAATGAAACAAATGCCTTTTCTGGTGGAATCTCCCTGGCTCACTGAGATGTTCTAAATGGGTAAGAGGATTACTTGCAAAACACTTCAGTAGAGTTAGCATAGAGGTGAAGGAAAATACCTAGTTATTTTAGTTATGAAAGAAAAGTAATGCAAAACTTCAAATCATCACACTTTTAAAGATAATTTACAGAGATCACACTTTTGAGTAAAAGGTTTTGATAACGTTTTTGCTCCATTTTAAAACAAGAAGATGTCATAAAATTGATAACCAGTTATCTCAGAAAGACCTAATTTGATACTTGTGTAGGAGGAAAGCCTCCGGTTTAATTTCCTGAGTTGTCATGAATCTTAATAGTTAATAATGCCCAACCCACAGCACAGAAGTTACAAAAATATTTCCAAAAGGGTCACAGTGTGATCTTGAGTGTGTCCTTTATGCTAGAAATGA